ACGTTTGCTGTGCAGGGAATGAGTTCATGTTGTGCCTGAGGTGTGTCACCAGCTTGATTTGAATCTAAACAAAATTCCCCAAAACAGTCTCTGCATGAAGAAAACTGTTTGTGCAACTCTTTACTGACGTTTAAAACAATAAAAGCTAAATTCAGAAAGCTTGTCGACCTCAGGTTTTCACAATCACCTGCTTGAGATTCATAACAATCTTACAGGGCTTTCACACTTGCAGAATGACTGAAGAATATCCAGAGCAGTCCTCCTGAACTTATCGAGATACTTCAGGAGTATACATGTGAAAACGGCTCTAGTGTCTGCAGAATTCAGTGAAAGTGACTTCCTACCCTGAGGGACCCCATTCTATTATGGTGTCATATAAATCCAACTTCATGTGATGATTTGAAAGGAGCAGTATATAACTCTGACCCCTAGTGTTTAAAATGGGTACTGCAGCCAAATTCTAAACATCATAGAGAGCTGTCCCCCCCCCCCTCCTCTCTAGAGTGGATGCTCACTCAGGTCACCATGTGGTGGACTCTGAAGCTTCAGTGTTTATCCAGCTCTGCATGGGTCTGTAAACCTTTCTGTGTTCTAACCTCTCTCCATTTTTCAAAAGCATCTCCAATATTGATCCTAGTTTGAGCACGTTTCTGCTCGTGGAGCTTATTAGAAACATGCAGAGGCTTTTTAGGTCGGGTACAATCACTTCTATCTGAACCACTTCTCTTGACCGCTTCCATCGCTGCAACACCTGTTGACCTGATAACTGCTCTCATATCTGACAAACCGAGGGGCGTCCAAAACGGTTGTGTGGTGGGGGGTCTTAAAAGCGCCTACCTTCTCTGGTTCAAACAAATCCAGATCATTCAGGAGCAGAATCTAAAGTTAGAAGGAGGACATACTGGCTGCTGCATTGTAGTCAGAGAAGCCAGCACTTCAACATAGCATGTTTCCTTAATGTCTGATCAGATAGTAAGATACCTTTATCATCTCACTCACTACACATCTCACTGATTGGCCCTTTAAAATAAACAAAATCAAATACAATATTTAAAGGTTAAACTCTGTTTTTTCTTATTTAGTTGAAGGACTTGTTTGTAGTTCTTTGATGGTATTGTGCTGTAGTTTCACACCTTCAAAAGACGTCGTAATCACCTCAAAGACACACCTAGTCTTAGCCAGAGGGCTACAGTGTGCCATGCACCTGTCTCACTCCCAAACATAGTATTACAAAGAAAGGCCTCGAAGAGTCCTGTTAGATTATAACTTCTGCTTCCCTAAGTGTGAGTCACAGAGACAAAGACAGTCAGATTAAACTAATGGCTGTAAGTCTTGGCACAGGCTCGCACCATAACAATCAGATGGTAATGTTTCTGTGAGCGTCTGCATATTTATGCCTGCATGTGTAAACTTTGACCCAAATGGCGACATGCTCACATGTTTATATAAGATTTATGGCTTTGGGTCTCAAGCAGGCTACACCCAAACTTTTACAGTTAGTTTCCCCTCCATGCTTCATGTCTTATCTGTTGCTTGAGCCCACAACACTGAGTTAGTGTTTGAAGAATAAGCAGTTAAGATAAGGAAACTCCATTCACAACACAACTGGGGCATACTCTTTAGAAATCGAGAGCAAACTTATTGTTTGAGGCAGTAAATACTGCCCCCAAATCCCAAAGGACAGAATTAAACGGCTTATCTTGCTTAACAAAGAGTAGAAACCCATTCAAATGTTGGTTATATATATCTCGAAAACTGCCACAAAAAACTGTAACCTGTCTTTTTTTTTTTTTTTTTGCATTTTTAGCTTCAAAAAATTACATAAATTATGAACTAGTACACAAAATAAAGCCTCTAAATTGACTCCATCTCTTAAAGCTTCACCAAATCCCTGCATTGAAACCAGTTAGTGGTATTTTAAGTCAGGTTGGTTGCAGTTTATATACAAATAGCTGCAGTCCGACGAACGACGTCAAAAAGTCAACATATCAATTTCATTAAAATTGTATTTCAACTTTTTTCCCCAACATTTAGACTTAATTCTAGACATTAAGACTTTTATTCTCGATATGTCAACTCTACTCTTGATATTATATTCAACTTCATTCCCGACAATTTGGCTTTTCGTCTTGACATTACGATGTTGATCTCGACATTTCAACTTGTATTCTCGATACTGGAAATTGTATTCAACTTTATTATGTAAAATTTAACTTTTCATTTGTAAATTTAAAAATTTTTTTTTGCAACATTTCAACTTTTATTATCAACATTGTGACTTTTTATCTTGACATTACGACTTTTATTTCCAAAATTTTAACTTTTATTCCCCATATTTCGACTTACGCTTCCATGAGAGATTTTAAAGCGATACCTCAAAGCAGTTTTGAGGTTCCCAAAAGTGGCTGGAAGTGGAATAAGATCCTGTAGAAAACACTAACATTTGATTTTAATAGTGTATTGAATTATAATATGGAGTATATTACTATCTAACCATCTACAGCTTCAGTTTAGGGTTTGTATTTCAAGTGTGACAACTCATTTGCCCAAAAGAAAGCGACATGATTAATCGACAACAGGTGGATTCGATTCGAAACCGTCTTCGGTCGACGATCTTTACGAACTTTTACCTCCGGAGCTGTTCGGCTGTCGTCGAACCACTTGTTCCCGGGTGTCCCTCATCGTGTTTTCCTCCTCTTCCTCGGACCGTGCTTCGGCCATTTCTCCTCTTTTTCTCACTTTTCTCCGGCTCTGTTTCTCTTGTGCTGTAGAAAATGGAGCTGGGTCAAAGCAGAGACAGCAGCACCATCATTATTCCTCCTCCTGTTTCGTCGACGATTACATCCACCGCCACCACAACAACCCGGGACAAGTTCACCCAAACACCGTCAACTTTATCGCCCGAAACAACTTCCAGCGTCAGTAAAAACCCTTCGACTCGGTGTTTGGCAACATTTTAGGCGTGAAACTGTCTCAAACCCGCCGTTATTTAAACAGAATAACAGTCGTCGTGTTTGGGTTTCGGCTGGAGAGTTTGTCCGAGCTTCCCTGTTTCCCCCAACAGCCGGGTCGCGAGCTCCTGATACAGAGCAGAGCCGCACGCGCTCCGGCTGCGTGACGTCACCAACTGAAAAAAAAGAACACAGTAACAGAGCACGAGAGAACCAGTGGGTGAGAAGTTGGACTCTTTTTAGTGATCGGATCATTTGGCTCAGCTAAATGTGCGATATTGCAAATGCTCTGAGAAAGGATTCATGGCATACATTCAAACAATACACTTTAATTACTTACATAGCACCTTTAATTTAATGTTTGCACTGCCTGTTATTTAATGTCTGTTTTTTGATAATTTTGCACTATCTGCTTTTTAAACATTGCTGTACATATATAAACAACACAACTTCAGAAAGTCAACACTTTTTTCTTCTTATTTTTTTATATTCAGGTCTAATTACAGATTTTTTTCCTCAACTGTTTATAGGTTCTTGTTTAAACTGCACATATATTTTTATCCCTGCACAGGTTATGTACATTTCTTGTATAAGTCTATTTTTAGTTGCACAGTTTAAGTTTCATTCATCTAGAGGTATTCTTTAAATCTTTTTTTCAGGTTAATATATATGTATGGGAGTTGGAGCGTCGGTTTTGTGGTTTAATTTGTAACAAATGTTTCATGTCATGTACGTCTTTGTAACCTGCTACTGGATGCTTTGAATTTCCCTCGGGATCAATAAAGTATCTATCTATCTATCTATCTATCTATCTATCTATCTATCTATCTATCTATCTATCTACTAACAGGCCAAATTCAAAGTAAAAGCAGTAAGACTCACTTTTTAAAATTGAGGATTTCCTGCAGCTTAATACTTTGGGTTTGTGGTCAAGACACTTTTTACATGGTGAATAAAAAACAAAGTGAAATCAGTTGCAGTTTGAGGTTGTCGCCACCAGAGAGCAGCACTGACGTCTTTATTCAGCTTGACCATCCACACAGTGAAGGTTTTTTAAACAGGATAAACAATTATCCTCCAGCACTTTTCTAACAATGCTTGAAAAAGGTAAACATGCACTTGAATCTAAAAGCAGTTATAACTACAGATATCACATTTTTTATGGGTACCTTGTACGTCACCACAGGAATAATATTGTCACATTTCCATTAAAAATACTTTTCTTTTTGATTTATATATTTTAATCAAAGCAACATCTTTACATAAATATATATTTTTTAAATGTCATTTATTTATTCAACCTTCATTGATATCAGAGATCTCGTTTTCAGAACATCAGCAACACACAGTTTCAACAACAACACTCAAACTCTGACGGTAGGCCTACACATTTCATAATATGAAATCAGCTAAAACAGCTGCGTACACAAAGTTTATGCAGCTGCAAACGCAGGTTGTGGTTGAGGAAAGGTAGTTCAACATCCATCCATAGCTCTGCAAATGAAGATACACCGATGTCCATATTTGAAATGTTGTTCAAATCATATTTGAAGCAGATGATGATGTTGTTGGTGTTTGGCTGTGATCCAAGTGACCTGTGTGTGTGTGTGTGTGTGTGTGTGTGTGTGTGTGTGTGTGTGTGTGTGTGTGTGTGTGTGTGTGTGTATTGTTTTAATAGATTATCACCTCCTGCTGTCCTCTAACACCAGCTGTTAACCTGTGTTTCCACGGTGATTAATAACAGGGATAAAATAAAAGTACACAGAATTGAACATGTACATAAATATAACTAAACATTTAACTGGTCTAATAACTTAAAAAACAGTTTTAAAGTATGCTAAAGTAATATTTTAATGCAGGGTATTCACTTATATTTAAAAATGTGTTTGCATTTCTGTTCATTGAGGACAAAAATCAGAGTTTTTCTCCCTATTATAGTGTAATCTCTATAGGGGCGTGGTTTCCTGCATCAGTGGGCGGGGCCACACTGTTACCTAGCAGCGAGCGGCGGAGTGATTGACGGTTGAGCGGATTAAAGCTCAGCGGCGGAGCAGCAGGTTTAAAACAAAGAAAAACGGACCGAAAGGACCCATAAATCCGGTTTAAAAGAAGAAACGACGGGGTTTATTCACGTTTCTTGGACTGTTAAAGAGTTTTAAAGTACTTTGACTTTGTTTTTGTGAAGAAGAAGAAGAAGAAGAAGAAGAAGAAGAAGCTGACATTCCTTCATCTGGGACAGACCGGAGGTAAGATCCTGTTTACAGCAGGTACACTTTAGCCTGAACAGGATCCAGAGGGATGAGAGGAATATTAGAAATATTACGGTCATAATCTGTGTTTAAACAGAGAAGTTACTGTTTTTACCTGTGAGACCAAACAGGTAAGTCAGAGTAAAATGACAAATAATTTAAAAGCGAGTAAACAATAAAAACAAGGCGAATTAAAGAGTTAAATATAAGAGAAGAGAACTCAAAAGTGATTAAAATAGAGTAAATCGAGACTTTAACACAACATAGACTGGGTAAATTAAATATATACGTTCATTTATGAAATTAAATAAGAGATACATACATTTTAAACATAATTTAGATCAGAAAAACTAAAGTATTAAGCGAAAAGTGGATAAAATAAACCCTATACGTGTAAATAGACTGATATTAAACATGAGCAAAGCTAGAATAAATAGAATATTTGATTATAAAACAATAAAAGGAGCTTAGAGTTGAACATATGTGCCTTTAAATGAAATAAATAATCAAAAAATATATGCTCGTCTTTTCTACATAACATATATCTGCTCTTTTCTGCATCAGGTGTGTGTGTGTGTGTGTGTGTGTGCTGCTGAGTAATGCTGGTGCCTCACTCAGGTGTGTGTGTGATGTAAGGAGTCGGAGCATTAAGAAGGTGAAGACAGCACGTGCACACAGTCACAGACCAGTGAACCTTAGTGACCTGCACACACACAATCACACACTCTCTCTCTCTCTCTCTCACACACACACACACACACACACACACACACACACACACACACACACACACACACACACACACACACACACACACACACACACACACACACACACAGTCTTCATTCAAGGTGGTGCCTTCAGGGTCAGACTATTGAGGTCTAACATGTGCTGCAGGCAGTGCTGAGAATATCCTACGGTAGTGGTTCCCGAAGTGAGGGCTTTAAAGTACTCTGAGATATCGTCCAAAATGTTTTAGACAAAACTTCAACGGAACAAAAAAAGCATCAACAGATTATCCCCAAGGACTGTGAGAAACAGACAGCTGTGAGAGCGGAGGGAGAAGACCTTGAATCAAACACTGCTGCTGCTGCTGCTGCTGCTGCTGCTGCTGCTGCTGCTGCTGCTGTCCATGAAGGAGATTAACATGTGTGCAGCTGTGTGTGTGTGTGCAGCTGTTTGTGGGTGGGTGTGTGTGTGTGTGTGTGTGTGTGTGTGCAGCTGTGTGTGTGTGTGTGTGTGTGTGTGTGTGTGTGTGTGTGTGTGTGTGTGTGACCTCATTTGTAAATATAGGGCGGTATAACATGGGTTGTTTTTCTGACCGATTTGACAGAAACATGAGGATGTGATGTGTGTTTGGGTCTGAACCAAACAAACACGTCTCTTCAATCTGGAAGGAGAAGATTTGTGTCTCCGCAGAGCTGCAGACGTTTCATTTCACGCTGTGTGTTATATATATGATGTAACACACTGGTTTGTTGCTGAAGCGTCACTGGCACTGCTCACGTCGCCTCCTGCACCTCAGCTGGGTTCACTGTCATCAACCTTCCTTTCTAATATTAAAACCTTTTAAAGGTAATATTCACTTCCTCTCAGCTTTGCTTGTCCATCATTTGATTTGAAGAGACTCCCAGTGTACCGTATGAGGGATCCTGCATGCGACGCCAATGACAAAAAGGAGCTACAAAAAGCCAAAACGAAGGTTTCATGACTTTGCATCATTTATGTAATCACAGGCGTTTCTGAATTTGCTGCACGTTTGGAGCGGACAGTTTGTTTGCACTTTAAGGGGCCCAGCTGTCAATCAATGACTCCACACCGGACACACGTCTCTGCTGCACTTTGAGAGTTTGTTGGTTAAATGTGTGAGAACGCAGCGACTGTTCAAACCCTGAGGCGACCACAGACCGTCCTTTAACTCAGGTCAAAGGTCAAAGTGCCCTCCATTATAAACACCTGGAGTTAGTCATCACTTAAAAACTCAATCAGCTAAAAATGAGAATCTGAACACGTCAGGTCACTCTGTGTGTGTGTGTGTGTGTGTGTGTGTGTGTGTGTGTGTGTGTGTGTGTGTGTGTGTGTTTGTTTTAATCCCTGGTTTGTGTGATGGCATGTGACTGTCTGAGTTCAACACACACACACACACAAACACACACATGCTGTGGTGGCTTGGGATTTAACATCACTGTCTCATCTCAGATTAACACACACACACACACACACACACACACACTCTCACACACACACACACACACACACTCACACAGATTAGAGGCCCAGATGGTGATGGATTTTTAAATTGTGTGTGTGTGTGTGTGTGTGTGTGTGTGTGTGTGTGTGTGTGTGTTAGACCCAGACAGTTTACAACCTCTCTCTCTCTCTTTCAGGACAACAGGCAGAGGGCTCGCTCGTCCATGTTGCAGCAGCAGAGAGGTAGGTACACTCTTGTATTATTATTGTTGTGTGTGTGTGTGTGTGTGTATGTGTGTGAGTGTGAGTGTGTGTGTGTGTGTGTGTGTGTGTGTGTGTGTGTGTGTGTGTGTGTGTGTGTGTGTGTGTGTGTGTGTGTGTGTGTGTGTGTGTGTGTGTGTGTGTGTTGGGGGGGGCATTTCTTAGAGATATTATTTTGGAATTCCGAGAATGTTCCGGAACGCCCAGGGTGGAACTCATTCCGGAGTGTTCCTGTTATTCCCGTTGCCATGACGACCCTCACTTCCTGTTCCGTCCCTGGACAGAGAGATAAAGTCAGACATTTGAAGACGGCGCTCTACAGCTTGTCATCATCATGTGCCGACGGGCTCTGAACTCCCCATAGGTGCATCAGCACGCCGTAAAGACGCTTCCTCGGCGTGTCCGTCAGAGCAGATCACACACAGTGAACACAACGTTGAAGGAAAAACGCTGAGCTACACGGAGAAGTCAGAGCCACATGGATTAAAGTGTGTTTGTTTGTTTATCCTCATTCGTTTCAGCACAGCGAGGAAGCTGAGGTCTGCAAAGTGTTTCAGCACACATGGCCAACGACAAGCTGCAGATTCAGAGCAGAGACAGATTCTCCTCCGACTGATTCCAACATCAGAGCAAAGTGTCCGTCTTTGATTTGAACTTTAAAAGTCTCCAGATCCTCTGAGGAAGTTTAGAAATGTCCTTTCAGAGGGACGCTGTTTACTTCCCCACTGTGAGGACTTCCTGTCTCTCTTCATTCTTCTCTTCTTTCTACAGAGTCTGATGTTTAAACGTGAAGTATCTCTACTTCAACTGGAGCCAGGAACAAAACGCATGTTTGTCACCTCTGTGCTAAACACACAGGAGCTAAATAAACAGGATGAACATGAACACACCCTCAGTGTGTTAGTTCACATCGTTCATGTGTCAGGAGCAAAGTGATACAGGAAGAAATACCTTTGGATCAATTTTCTAAATGAGAACTTGTTCCAGTGTTTACGACCGAGAACAGGCGGAAAAAAATCAACTTTTTTCAGCACAATCTTTGAGTTCTTCATCATTTCTCCTCCATCAGTCAGTGGTGTGTTTCATGTACTTTTGGATATCACATGTCGGAGTTTGGATCGACGTCACACCACGAGTTGAGTGAGTTCCAGTAACGATTTGTAGTCCCAAAGCAACATGGGCGCCTCCAAGTTGTGTGTTAGCCATCAGAAAATAGCATCGCAAAATTGTCTTTAAAGTAAAGACATTTCCGCTGCTTTTTAAATAAATGACGCGATGCTAGTATGTTTATCATCGTGTCATTATTCTCCTGGCAGTGGATCAATGACATATTTTCAGAAATAAGATGATTATCTTTTTCGTCCACCTTCGTCCATCACAGGCAAACAGCTGCCCACCAAGCCCAGGAGGAGAGCCTGATCCTGGGCTTAGAGAGCCAGCTGATGCCCCTCCCCCTCCTCCTCCTGGAACATGCTGTAACCACCTGACATCCTGTCAAAATGATGGCCTCTGTGATGATGGGGGGCAACCTCAGGAAGGCCCTCACGCTGAGAGGGGTGGACCCCGAGACCTGCATGATCGTCTTCAAGAACCACTGGTCTCAGGTACAGGAAAAAACACACACACACACACACACACACACACACACCTGTCAGGATTCCTCCGTTTTTCATCCATCAGTCATCACTTTTCTATTATTTTCCTCCCTCTTTGTCTCTTTTTCTGGCCCTCCGGCTGCCCTGTTTCTCTCATAATGGTTGGCAGACACAGTGTGTGTGTGTGTGTGTGTGTGTGTGTGTGTGTGTGTATATAAGTGTGTGTGGTTGTGTGTGTGTGTGTGTGTGTGTGTGTGTGTGTGTGTGTATTTTACTGACCCAGACTTTGGCCCTTAAACACAGAATCCATTTAGAACAAACCCCTCTCTACGCTCGCCAAGCAAACCCACACACACTCCACGTCTGTGTGTGTGTGTGTGTGTGTGTGTGTGTGTGTGTGTGTCTGTGTGTAGTCGTTGTCTGAAGCAGCCATGTCAAAGGTTAGCACAAGTCCAGACAGTGAGTTACATTCTTCTTTCTTTCTCCGTTTTCATTCATTTCTGTTGTTTACAGCTCAGATCTGAGTAAGACGCTTACACACATTTCCAGATCCAGAGCTGAATAAACCTCATTAATATAAACCATAAGATTGTTTATTTCAGCAGGTTTTAGGTTGAGGATTAAAACAGGGGTTATGTCATGTCACCTTACACTTCCTGAAGGAGCGTTATGAAGCGGGTTTGAGCGCTCGCTGACACAGCCACGTGAACTGAGACATGTCAGTGTCAGTATCGTCTCAATGGAAACATCACTTTGAAAATAATCCTGCAGACACGCCTTTAAGATCTGAAGTTTGTTTATTCATGAATGAATTAGTTTATAGAAGGTTTGTACGCTACTCAAAGCCTTAGACATGTGTTTGCGACGGTACATGTAGCTGCTTGGTAGGTTGTGCAGAAAAAGATTTGTTCCAGAAGTCAAGTTTCCAACCAGTCTTCAGAAGGGATGTCCGTCAAGAGAAACCATAACAAAAAACTGACCTTCGATGTGAACGCTGATGCCTCCTGCACAAAGGCGTTTGTGGTGATCTGTTGGTTTGGTAACCTTGGCATGGTTCACAAAAAAAACAGGCGGGAAATACGGTTAAAACTGTGCCGGATTGTTGGCGTTGACTTGAATGATCTCGAACATCATTTTCCAACAAGAGCCAAGCAGAAGGCAAAGGCGGTCCTGGAAGACCCTCAGCACCCCCCTGCAGGCAGAGCTTAGACTTCTGCAGACAGGGAAGGAGGTTCACTTCTGATAGGAGGGTCAAATCTAACAGGTAGCTGAGGTCGTTTGTCCCGTCAGCAGTTTGGTTTTTAAATACGCTGTAGGTATTGTTGCAGGCACACTTTGACTTGTATTTATGTCTCTGTGCAGTTCTTAGGATGTGTTGCCTGTATGGAACTCTGTTTCAAACCAAAATGCCCCTCAGGGACAATAAAAGATTTTCTAATCCAAAAACAAAAGAAGAAGGCATCCAGAGTGTCCCTCCAGTCGCTGCATGTTTGTCCAGATTTGTTTACTAAGTTTGCATTGCACTGAACTGTGTTTGTTTGTTTTTTACACAAACAGAAACGTCAGAAAAGCTCAGTAACGTCTTTTCGTTTCCACTTGGTTTCATTCTGGACATCATCATGTGGATGAAAACGCTCTTCCTGCTAAAGGTCGTCTCCTTTGTCCTCTCTCTCTTCAGGTGGTGAAGATCCTGGAGAAACACGAGCCGGGTCGCAGCAGCTCCAGTGCGTTGAGCTTCCTCTCCGGTCACACTAACAGCAGCAGCTCCGGCTCCGGATCGTTGCGCCTTGGCCCGATCCCGGCCGACGAGGCCAGCGCCGTGCAGAACTATGTGGAGCACATGCTGTTCCTTCTGATGGAGGAAGAGGCGGGGCAAGGTGAGAGGAGAGGAGAAAAGAAAGTGTTCACTTATTCCACCTGTGTCGTGTTTTGTTCTCACGCCTGGACTCCACTGTCACCAGGCGGAGCGATGGGTCCCATCCTGGAGTTTGTGGTCCTGGAGGGCGTGATGGAGAGGCTGTTCCTGTGGAGCCTGAGGAGACAGTTCACTGAGGACATGAAGCTGGAGCAGCTCAGGATGTACCAGATGCTTCTGTCTCAGGCCAAGCAGCCTCTGCTGCACCACAAACCGGTTCTGAGACCGCTCATGATGCTGCTGGCCTCCTGCGCCGGAGCTGGGACCGGTGAGTCATGCCAACATGTTAGATTTAAACTTTGTAACCTAGCAACACTGAGCCCCAGTGAGACGTGCTCTCAAGCTAAGCGCTGTCAAAGGACACAGGCCTTTAAAGATTTATAACTTTTAGTTTTATAGATTTTTATTTGCATGAAGAAAAGAATCTTAAAAAACTCAACAAACTCCCAGAAAATGTGACGCTATACCTTTAAGAGTGCCTCATGTCCACTCTCAGAGCTGTATCCTGTATGGCAAAGGTTTCCACAGGTAAAGGCTGTAGTTCTGAGAAAGTTCTGTCAGAGCTCTTTGGATTTCTGTCGCTGAAAAGAAAAAAATCTAAAAGTTTGTTTCCTTCGACTGAAAGTAAGAAATCAGTCCAAACGCTGGAGGAAGTCTTGGAGCTGCTTTAGCTGTAAGGTCATCTAATTGGTTTAAAGTGGTTCCTCTAAAGGTGATTAAGGTGTAGCCGGTATAACAGTTTAAACAGTTACCTCAGGTAGTTAATCACCTGTTTCCCTCCTCCAGACAGCGGGGGTGCAGTGGAGGCGGAGCTTGTCCTCCTGTTGAATCAGCTGTGTGTCGCTCTGGTTAAAGACCCCTCAGTGCTCGAACTCTTCTTCCACACCAGCGAGGACCAGGGAGCCGCCAACTTCCTGCTCTTCTCCCTGCTCATACCATACACACACAGGTATACACACAGGTACACACACAGGTACACACACAGGTACACACACAGGTATACACACAGGTACACACACAGGTATACACACAGGTATACACACAGGTACACACACAGGTACACACAGGTACACACACAGGTACACACACAGGTATACACACAGGTACACACACAGGTATACACACAGCTATACACACAGGTACACACACAGTTATACACACACAGGTATACACACAGGTATACACACAGATATACACACACAGGTACACACACAGGTATACACACAGGTACACACACAGGTATACACACAGGTATACACACAGGTACACACACAGGTATACACACAGTTATACACGCACTGGTATACACACAGGTACACACACAGGTATACACACAGGTATACACACAGGTACACACACAGGTATACACACAGATATACACACACAGGTATACACACACAGGTATACACACAGATATACACACACAGGTATACACACAGATATACACTCACAGGTACACACACAGGTACACACACAGGTATACACACAGGTACACACACAGGTATACACACACAGGTATACACACAGTTATACACACACAGGTATACACACACAGGTATACACACAGATATACACACACAGGTATACACACAGGTACACACACAGGTACACACACAGGTACACACACAGGTATACACACAGGTACACACACAGGTATACACACAGGTATACACACAGGTACACACACAGGTACACACAGGTACACACACAGGTACACACACAGGTATACACACAGGTACACACACAGGTATACACACAGCTATACACACAGGTACACACACAGTTATACACACACAGGTATACACACAGGTATACACACAGATATACACACACAGGTACACACACAGGTATACACACAGGTACACACACAGGTATACACACAGGTATACACACAGGTACACACACAGGTATACACACAGTTATACACGCACTGGTATACACACAGGTACACACACAGGTATACACACAGGTATACACACAGGTACACACACAGGTATACACACAGATATACACACACAGGTATACACACACAGGTATACACACAGATATACACACACAGGTATACACACAGATATACACACACAGGTACACACACAGGTACACACACAGGTATACACACAGGTACACACACAGGTATACACACACAGGTATACACACAGTTATACACACACAGGTATACACACACAGGTATACACACAGATATACACACACAGGTATACACACAGATATACACACACAGGTACACACACAGGTACACACACAGGTATACACACAGGTACACACACAGGTATACACACACAGGTATACACACAGTTATACACACACAGGTATACACACAGGTATACACACATGTAGGTACACACAGGTATACACACATGTAGGTACACACAGATATACACACACAGGTACACACACAGGTACACACACAGGTATACACACAGGTACACACACAGGTATACACACACAGGTATACACACAGTTATACACACACAGGTATACACACACAGGTATACACACAGATATACACACACAGGTATACACACAGATATACACACACAGGTACACACACAGGTACACACACAGGTACACACACAGGTACACACACAGGTATACACACAGGTACACACACAGGTATACACACAGTTATACACACATGTAGGTACACACAGGTATACACACATGTAGGTACACACAGGTATACACACATGTAGGTACACACACAGGTATACACACATGTAGGTACACACAGGTATACACACATGTAGGTATACACACAGGTATACACACATGTAGGTACACACACAGGTATACACACATGTAGGTACACACAAGTATACACACATGTAGGTATACACACAGGTATACACACATGTAGGTACACACACAGGTATACACACATGTAGGTACACACACAGGTATACACACATGTAGGTACACACAGGTATACACACATGTAGGTACACACACAGGTATACACACATGTAGGTACACACAGGTATACACACATGTAGGTATACACACAGGTATACACACATGTAGGTACACACACAGGTATACACACATGTAGGTACACACAGGTATACACACATGTAGGTATACACACAGGTATACACACATGTAGGTACACACAGGTATATACATATATAAGTTCACACACAGGTATACACAAAGAAATAGACACACAGGTGGGTACACATAATGGTATACATATGACCTCAGGTACATATACACAGATACAGGTATATACACAAACACAACAGACAGTGTAATTTAAAAACACACAAAAACAGAAAGGCTCACACACACTGGATATTGACACATGGCGCTGTACACACACACAGGAATATAAGTACCTCTCTCTCTTCAGACAGGGGACGGTGGGTCAGCAGGCCAGAGACGCTCTGCTGCTCATCATGTCTCTGTCGGCCTCAGACCCTCGAGTCGCCCAGCACATCGCAGAGAACACCTACTTCTGCCCCGTGAGTGAACAAATACACACACACACACACACACACACACACACACACACACACACACACACACACACACACACACACACACACACACACACACACACACACACACACACACACACACACACACACACAGAACCTTAAACTGAATCACAGCTTTAAACATGTCACCTTACGGGCAGGTAGACTCTGCGTCACTAAACCTTCATGGTTCATTTGAAGAGACTTTGACTCTTATTTTGGGGCTTTTTGCCTTTATTTAGAAAGGACAGTGGATAGAGCAGGAAGTCTGAAGAGAGAGAGAGAGAGAGAGAGAGAGAGAGAGAGAGGGGAAAGGAGCAGAAGGTCGGACATGAACATGGGCCG